GAGTGGACCAAACACTTGAAAAGAGACCTCCCGCAAATTCCCGTCTTCTAGTTTTAAACAAAAAAGGGAGGAATTACTAGGACAAAGGCATGGTACGGGTTGAAGCAGAAACTATTCCTGATGCCACAGTTAAGTTTACACAGATGATCTAGTTGCAGGCAGTATGTTTTTCCTTCCCTTCCTCCAAGCTTTTCCCTTGTTTTGCAGTTCCCGCTGAAGGCTATGCGGTTACAGTGAGATCTTCTTGAAAAATGGTGGTGAGAAATGATCCCTGAACGTTAAGTGATCCAAAAAGATTAAAAAAAAAAAAAAAAGGGCCCGCAAAATTTTGCCATGCTGGAACCCCTGAAATTACACTCAGTGCAAGCTGTGGGAGCCCACCTCCTGCAGGGGACTGCTTGGCCGCATCACCTCCTCCAGCTTCGTCGTGCCATTCAGCGTCCGTTGGACGCCACCCCACAAACGCCAGCCTAATTTTCGTCTCAACTTTTACAGCTGCAGGTCAGCTGTAGTTTTGGGATGTTCTCACTTCTTGACTAAGCTACAGTATTTTGCTGTTTTTTTTTTTTTAGTAGTAACAGGCCATTCCTTGCACCTCAGATTTACCACATTTCCCCAAGAACAGATTTCACACACCTCAATATTTACAGGAGATGGCTGGTGTCATCATTTGCTGGCATACATTTCAGTGAGCTGCGCAGCTATGCTTTGCTTGACTAATGGCCACATCAGGCAGCTATTCCAACATAGACGTTCAATGAGAGCGAAGTCGGAATAGCACTCGTTAAAAATAAGAACTACGTAGTCCTAAATGCAAGTCTGGTCACCACTTTGGATATTGTTTTAGCTGATTTTTCTTGTTGCTATTATTCTAAGGGAGAAACAGCAATCTGGATGAATTTATCCCCTTGACACGTTTCCGAGTATACCGCCCACGTCCATAGAAGACAGCAGCCCTCGCCTACCCTTTGAGCATGCAGCAGTGCTCTGCACATCACTCAAAATAAGGGGAAGTTGCAGCCTGACACTGAGCCCGAGCTGTCACCCAAAGAGTCCAACAAGTATGTTTTTGCAAGGCTCCGGCCTTGCATTTGATTTTGTCTTCAATAAAGAAAAAAAGGAATGCCCTCCCTAAGTGGAAAAAGAGAACTAAGGGACAAACCTTCGGAAATGAAGTCAGTACACAGAGGAAGACTAAATAGTCTTCGAAACGGAATAACTGCACAGAAGGAATTAAAGTAGCCAACGCACTTTTAAAAGATTCGTATGAGTCCTACATGTATTTTAAATCATTTCAACCATTAATCATTAGTATGACAGACACAGCAATTACTGTCTATTTTCCTTAATTCCATGCCATTGATGTGTATTAATATTATAATTGTGAGAAATTTTTTTGCTTTTGAAAAAGATGGCTCCCAAATAACAGCCCAATTAGGAACGAGCAGCAGTCGAGGGGAAGCTGGGTTTTGCCGAGAATCACTGCTCGTTTCTTCCCTGCCGTTTCACAGATGGGAAAGTGGAGGCAGGCCGAACGCTGGGGCAAAATGGCGCTATCACCTGCCGTGCTGCGTCCCGTACCTGAGCACAACTACCTCCCTATCGCCTCCTGTTTCAGGGAGGACCTTGCGTCCATCCCAGTCAAGTTCATATTCACTTAAAATAAATAAATACCTGAATAAACAAAGGCAGACCTGGCAAAGCAACAAGCATCCAACTTGCCTATGCCTGTCCTGTCCTGCCATCTCTGCCAGCTCCTCGCAAAGACACACCTCATGCCCAGCAAGGAGCCCACCTGGCCCACGCACGTCTTCCGGGGGCCGTGCTCGGCCAGGCGGCACAGCCTGCCCCTCCACGGCCCGACACCTGCCTCAGAAAAGCCCTGTTTCTTGCCTTAGGCTTCCCCCTGGGGAAGGAGTCTGTGAAAGAGCCAATGTAACTAGAAACTCAGTCAGGCTTCTGGACCGCTCCTTGCTGACTTTCAGAAGTTCAGTTCCTCCCTTGGATGGGCTACCACCAGCGAGCGAGAGGGTTGGAGTTGCCCGTCATCCACCTACTGTCTCCCAAACTGCTGCGCTGGGGTGGCCCAAAGAGCCCTGCACAACCTAGCCAGCGGTGTCCAGTTCCTCAGAGCCAGGCACGGCACGTCATCTCATCGGCAGTGATTCCTGCACGTTATCAAGCCACGGACAACAACCTCCCAGCAGGACAGTGAATACCTCCGTCCCAGGCTGTCCAGCACCGAGTGTCACACTCAGGTGGGTGTCACACAACTGCCTGTCTCCTTCCCAGGAAGGGATCTGGGAGCCTTCCACGGCGTTGCAGCTCATGCAGAGTTTTGTATGCTGGTGTTGGCTTGCAGAAGCACGCCAACGGGATTTTTGGTGACAGAGCGGGGCAGCACCTAAAGTAACTCATTCAACACGTTACACAGTAGCTTCCTCTAGCCCTAACTGCAGCAATGTCAACATGCTTGCCTGCAGAACACCTTCCTCCACGGCCAAGACCCATCGCTTTCCTCAGTGCACGTGTTCTCTGGTGCTTTTACTGATGAGGTTGTCTAACTCCTAGCCTTCTTACTCCAGCGAGAGCACTCATAGCTGAAATATATGCTTGAGAAAGCCTATAATGTTCTGTTCTCACACAAGTTTTAATATCAGGGAACTGCCTGTGACCCCAGCTGGAGATGATCTGACAGGTCTGTCCCGAGGTCCCAGCTAGAGAAGGGGATCAGGCCGGGAATTCTGCCCCCCAGCTTCACCTGGCTGGGCTCATCCTGTTCAGAGGATGGTGGATCTTTAAAGCACGCTTTAGCTCAGTGCCATAGTGTAGAAAAGGCAGTGTCTTTATTGCGTAAGTCCTTGGGGTTTCTGCATTTGAACTTTCCATAAGAGACTACCTTGCAAGCAGATGCCCAGATGGTGTGCCCAAGAGGCAACTACCATCACTGCAGCAAGCATCTCAGGCACTACCATTTTGTCTCTTGTGCACTGCTATTGTATAGTAAAAGGATGGAAAGCCACCTGTACCCTACATCTACACAGGAACTAACGAGTGACAGGGCCCGTTCCTGAGACTGCGTGAAGCCGGTCATGTGGTCTGGTCAAGCCCACAGAGCTAAACGCTCCACACAGAGCGGTTGCAGTCAAAATGTCTTTTGGTAATTATCCTTGCTATCATCTGAAATGTCCCCAGGAATTGGTTTAGAGGGTGGTATCTGGCCAAGGCTAAGAGCATGCCAGAGACTGCTCAAGCAGTTTAATAGCACAGACAGGCAAGTTCTGTGCCGAGGCCTGGGCCACGTTTAATTTACCAGCACAAACACAGCAACAGGCCACTTCCAGGAGAAAAGCCTGCTAATAACAACAGCAGCAATATATGCTTCTTATTTCATAATTTCTCAGCAAGGAAGCAGGGGCACTGATGTGCAGTTGCTGATTGTCCCCTGGTGTGGCTTGTCACCAGACTGTAAACCAGCTGCCCCTGCAGCAGCTGCAACAGGCTGGTATGAGCATCCCCACCAGCATGGCATCCCTGGACATGCACTGGGGGCAGGTGCCCTTAACCTCACATCTACCGGTGGAGAGACACCAGGCTGTCCAGCTCCCCTCGGAAGAGGACCTGGAACTGGGGAGCCAACCTGGCTACACCAAACCAAAAGGGATCTCAGCTCTGGGGAGCAATGCTCTGAGCAGCCCCGGGAAAGGCCTAAGGGGCTGGCAAAGCTAGGGCAAGTCTGCCAGAAAGAGGGATTAACGTGGGCATATCCGAGGCCTTCTCCAGACGAGGAAGATGAGTGCTCAGGCAGAAAGGTTCATTCATAGTAACCCAGGACTGCGAGGGGGGCAGAATTCCCGGCCTGATCCCCGTGCTGACAAGAGTCACGTCGGATATCTGGTTACTTGGCTCGTCCGGGGACGGAGGGGCGATCTGCGTGAGCGCTTCCTCCGGTTTACGAGGACGCCCTTGGCAGAGCTCTGCTACGGTTGGGCAAGTTGGCTGGCTTCACCCTGACCCTAACTACCGGCAGGGAAGAGAGTCAACTGCTGAGATTGGAGGCGAGAGACTGTCACTACTGCGTGCAGATTACAGACACCTCTCGCCTGGGCCTTATTCTTCCGCCTCAGAAAAGCACAGAGAGAAAATCTCAGGCCGAAGGCCTAAATCCCCACAGTGAATGAAAACAGTGACAGATCACCATAACTTGATGAAAAAGAATGGCATTAGAAACACTTTGCTAAATGCTAACATCAGAAAGTGTGGTACACAATATCAATTCTTTAAAGAAGCTCCAGCATCCAGCTTAACCCCACACACCTGTCCAGAGCTTTTATTTCTAATCCCAGAAATAAATACAGGTAGCTGTGGCAACAGAAATAGCTTCACACACACACCCCCCCCACCCCTTTATGATGTTAAATGCAGTAGTAACTTACACTCTGGGAATGAGAAAGACTCAAAGAGAAAAAAATAGACTTTTCTATTAAACTGGATACATTCAGACCTTTCATCGTGAAGCATCCGATGATCTCTCACAAACCTCTGAATAAGGTCTTTGTTTTCTTTTGCTTTGTTTTTAATCTCCCCAATTATTTTCTGAAGTTCTCCAGAATACAGAGCCACCGGCCAAGCGCTGCTCTTTGCTACGGAGCAGCGATGCCCACGTAAGCTAACAGGAGCTGCAGCTGTGTGAACAGCAAGGCAGGATAGGTCTCCGAGGTTATTAGTAAGAGCTTAGTCACACTTTGTGGTGATGTCCTTTTAACAACTGCAACTCAAACCAAAAATCTAAAAGCAACACACAAAAAAAACCCCAAACCATAAAAACATACGCTCCATACTCTTCCCCTGGCATCTAGCAAAAGAGACAACAGCTACGCTCGGAAAAGTTCCCTGAACTGCCTGTCAGTAACATAATAAGTATTTTTGCTTTCTACGGCTACTACAACTATGACATTTTCCATGTTTTATTTTGCATATGTGATCTAGAGTTCACTTACTGTTAGATGCTGGAACAGCCATGCCCTCATGATATTTGTGGCTACTTTGGGAAAGATGCCACGCTTTTTATGTCGCTTTTTGTCCTTATCTGGATCATCATCATCACCTGTGCTGGGGGAAGCTACACTGTTGTCCAAGCCGTCACCTGTAAATATAGTGAATCAAATTTTGACTTATGCTACCTTCAGACACTTCAGCCGAAGCCTGGCTTTGGGTATAAACTGCATGAATATTTAAATGAGGTATAAATTCTTTAACACCATAATTCACCAGGGTTTGAAGGGATAGGAGGGAAGAGACATGGGAAGAGGGAGGGTCTCGTAATTATATTGGCCCAGTTCTGGTTTATCCTGAAGGACAGTGCGGCTATTTCTGTCATTGGATTCAGTACAGTAACCCAATGAAAAGTGGTTTTGTTTTTTTTTTGTTTTTAAAAGAAAAAAGTTTTTGCAAGCATCCTGCTTGCCAAAGTGGAAAAGGTAGCTTTTCTTCACACTGGGTCACTTTCCAAAAACTAATATTTCCAATATTTCTCCCAATCAGCTAGTTTGCCTGAGATGGCAGTCAGGAAAGCGTCAATGGTATCCCCATCCCCATGACGTGTGTGAACCTTGGTGCCACGTTCCCCTCCAAGAGGCAAAGATCCAGTTAAAAGAGCCAGGATAAATGCATCCCTCTTGCAACATTACATTCTCTCCCCAAATTCAGGAACAACCGGAGGACTGTGGCACCGCTTATATTACATATTTCCAGATGTCCATCCTGCACTGACTTTTCCTGGGATGCAGGTATCTAACCGGCTTCCCCTCTCCCCAGCCCCAGCCTACAGAAATTCATACGGGGATAAGTAGGTACCAGTTTGACCTACACTTCAGGAATTAAAGCCCTGCTTTGTGCTGGTGCACCGTATCTGTAATAGGTGTCTGCTCCAGTTAAACAACTACTGATCCAGAATGAATTTCCTTAATGCAGAGAAAGTCTTAGTTCTCATCACACTAGCAACATATCTACAGGACTATACAACTGCGTAGCTGCCAGCTTTTGTCTGGGGTGTAATAACGGGCGAGCAGTCACTGGAAAACAAAAGTTGCAGTGCCTGGCCAGCTTGCATGCAATTTTTGTTTCAAACCCGGAAAGCGGTTTATAAACAAGTCAACGTAGCAATTTATTCTTTTCATGCTCTGCACGTGGATCGAACGGTATATCCTGGCTTCCAAGGACACTGTATTTGTAACCACATGGAGCTGTGATGTAATTAGGCAAGTGTTCCTTACACCCCCAGGCAAGAATGATCAAGAAAGTCAGCTGAATTGGGCTGAATCAAAACTACCTTTGTTAGGCATAAAAAAAAGTGAAGGATTTACACTGTCAAAATTACGATTTGTTAAACAGCCTTCATCGCAAAAAAAAAAAAAGTTATTATTAGCATTATATTTTTAGTATCTTACTGACTGTGACAAATTTATAATTGTCCTTATGACTTAGCCTGGATCTTTAATGAAATAGTAACCTTGAATAGTTATAGAAACAAACACAATTTTTATGAAGAAATCAGATACCCGATAAATTCTTTGAAAGCCCCGTATGTAAAAAAGGGCTTTCATACAGAGAAGCAATTCACCGTATAAAATAATAATTCATAAAAGAAACATGAGCAAAGGAAACAACTCAACAGCATTTAAAATTCCACGGGCTAATCCACTTTCTGTCTGAGAGAGGCAAACGAGGAAAAGAAAAGTATTACGCATTCATTGATTAAAAATGAAAAGCTTCTAACCTAATGACGCTGCCTTTCCCCACCTCCCTGCCATTGTTTTACCCCTGTTTTTAAAAAACACACTTTCTCCTCGTTTCAAACCCCCCTTCAAAGATTAATTTAGTAGGCATTGCCTGGTGCCTGACGAGAGGAGTATTCATTGATAATTTATGGAAATATCTACTATAATCCAAGGGAGATGACTTTTTTCCAGCTTTGTGCATCAATAGATAATCAAGGCCTTAAAGCAGCCTTAGCTTCCCATTACCTCAGGCAAAAGAATTCCTGAAAGCATGCCTTCGGGGCACCTGAATTATATACTCCATTAGGGGAGGAAAAGCTTTCTGCATTCCTTGTGTAACACTCCCCAGAACCTTTCCTGTTTATTTCTGCTGTATGAAAGCAGAAGCATTAGGAACAGAATTTTTTAAGTGAAGACTTATGTAGATACAATGGCGAAACCTTTCAAGCGAGAGCCAGATCACCTCCTTCAATCCCTGCCAGTGACCTATCCCAAATAAAAGGTTTCTGTTACATCATTAGCTCAAGCCAAAAACAGCCTTGGCTTAATGCACAGTTTGTTCTTCCTACTGTTTTTAGGCAAATACTGCTACTTTACTCCCATCTGGGAGGGAAATTACACTGCTGGGCTGTAATCTAAGACAAGATTTTCATTGGAAGCAAATGCTTTCAATCCAGTGTAAATACTGGTGCATGTTCAGAAAAGCCTAAAACAATAAACCCTGGCCCCGTCCAACACAAGCTAGGGAAAGTGAAAGGGAGAGAGCGGGTAATAAAGCATCCGACTATCCTAAGAGCAAATTCTTCGGCAGACTTTTATAAATGGTTTAACCTCGTCCGCTTTTTTAAATTGGAAGTTGAGCCTGCAAAGACCACGCCACGGAGAGAAGTCTAAATGGTCAAGTGTGGATTTTAGCATTTCCATCTACTTTGCAACCCGATACAGTCACCTCTGCGAGGTCTCCAGAGAATCCCTCCCCCCGCTCCCCCTTTTTTTTTTTTTTTCGGTCCTCCCCCCTTTTTAAAGATCACTAAACAAACTTGAAGAACCACTGCCCAACCACACGGTAGCAGCTATGAACCGCATTTGTAAAATGTCAGCAGTGACTTCATTCCTGAAGTTGACTTCTCCTGCCGCCAAATGAAGGCGAACTGAAAAGGTGGAAATAATCATAGAAATGATGCTAGTCCATAAACAAGCTTACAGCCTCATTAGTATAGCAGTAGGCTCCGCTGGGTGATTTATGCTTGTTTTGCTGATGCCATGAGGAAATGCCATCGGGCAACTTTAGCCAGCTGCTAATGGTTTCTGACAGCTTCTTAGCAACTAGTGCAAGCAACGCTGTGGCGTTTGCTAGTGACAGAAACTGAAAATGTCATATTATCTGCCCATGTGTCACAAAGTCCGTGTGGCAATTAACTAGTAGGCCAGTGACCGAGGGGCCAGAGGCTCTTAAAAATGGCCTTTGGCGATGCAGGGGCCGAGGAGGCGCACTGCTCACATTTACGCCGCGCATATGCAACGCGGAAATTGGGTTCGCGCTCGCCCCGTCTCGGCCGCCGATGAGTTGGGTCCGCTCAGATCCTTTGTCTGCGGAGAAGCTCCCGGTTGCTTTCTCTTTAGGCACCGCGTGACACGATCAGGGGAACGGCAAGTAATCTGCCTTGATATGATTGTTCGAAATGGCACTTTAATTGGCAATACCTGAGTCTCGATTTTGGAGAGCCGAATGCAGAGGTGCTAGCTGTTTTTCTGCTCGCTCACAAATTAGTCTAAAAGGATTTAAGATCACTGAAGCAGACTCATTGCCTGTCAAATTGCTAGGAGCGCAGGCACTCTGCTCAGCAACTAGACACTATTTAAAAAACACTGAGCCTGTAACAAGCGCAAGGAGAGCCTTGGCTCGGCGCTCCGGTTTCCAAGCTATCGAAACCATGCGCTATATGTCAAACTGTCAAACCTTTCAGCATGGCCATTTGCCCTTTCAAATAATATTTAAGAATTGTTTTTACAAAATTTTATAGGCCATGGTCTAGTGAAAGAGGCCAACCAACAAAGAAAGGAATTTGTACTACAATTCGTCCATGGCCGATTTCTTGCGCGCCCGGGGCCTATCCCCACGGAGCGAGGCAGGTGACCTGTGGCAGCTCCCAGGCTGTCGGAGGGCTCAGATTTCAAACGTGCTCAGCTCCAACGTCCCGCGGTTGCCTATTTAAGCACACCCAGGCATTTAGGCTGTGCTATCTTGTTCCTTTCAAGACAGGATAAAGCCGCATTTATCGCATTCAGGCCGTTCAATGGGTCAGCCGGGCCGCGCCGGCAGGGGTTCCTCTCGCCCCCGGCCCCCTCCCCTCTGCCGTCGCCTCCCAGCACTTCCCTTCCCTTCCCCTCCCGCTCCCCCAAAATCGCAGGCCGAAGCCGCAAAGGGCAATGGCGGCGTTTACAACGGCTCCTCCAGTCCTTGATGCTCTCTTTGTCACGGATGAGCGGTTATGAACCTTTGTTGGCACAACAGATGCTTCTGGAGAGCAGCTCCGCGCAGGTGCTCGTGTGCACCGGCAGGAGCCGCCGCAGTGGCAGCTCCACGCTGTCCCCCTCGAGTTCGTGCCGAACCCAAATTAAACGCCGTCGCCCTGCAACGCTAGCAAGGTGGGAGCACCACCCACAGACGCCAACGGCCACGCTCCCAAACCCAGCCTTCGACCTCTCATATGGAAGTTGCCCAAATACGACGTGAATACGTCCAATTGCCAGTCACCACAGATTCAGAAAAGCTGGACGTTCAGATGTCGAAAAGCCCACCAGACATTCGCACGCAACTTAGCTGATGCGTTGCAGAGGCCTCAGCGACGGCAAGGCACCCGCTTACCTGTGCCCCGTTCAAGGCAGGCCTGGGGCTTTTGGAGGGGTTGGTCTGCTCAGGATAGACACCCCCGTAATACCCCTACAGACCAAGAACACCCTCGTCTCCAAGTGCTTCAAAAGCTACTGGAAATCACAAACTGCCAAATATAGCTTTCCCGGAACGAATATTTTCACCGCATGCTACAAGTCATTGCTCACTGCAAGAAGCTGTGTGACCTGGGACCACAGCTGTATCAGGAGGACAAGCATTTTTACAAGAAATACATACTCTTCATAAAAAGTTTTGCACATCTCTGCCATCAGCACTGAGGATTCGAGAGAGGGTTTGGCGGGGGGGAGGGTTCGTTGTTGCAGCTACAATAGCCACCCACTTCCGTCACCTCAAGGACTGCACTGAAGACATGGGAAAGAAAGGGATCCAGAAGCCCTGGGAAAGGCCTGGAGCAACTTCCCTGAATGGGAAGACACCATTAACGTGGGGCTAAATCCTTTAAAAGATCCA